CCACTGGGGTCACCCCCAGCTCTGCCCCTGCCCCTCAGTCCCGCTGCACCGTGCCTTGTTACCCCACTGGGGTCACCCCCAGCTCTGCCCCTGCCCCTCAGTCCTGCTTCACCATGCCATGTTACCCCACTGGGGTCACCCCCAGCTCTGCCCCTGCCCCTCAGTCCCGCTTCACTGTGCTCTGCTATCCCAGCTCTGAACTCCCCACACCCAGCTCAGGGAGCCCTCGATACTGAGGGCAGCAGCAGCTATCCCAGCTCTGGGGTCCCCACACACCCAGTCCTGATGCGCAGTGCCCTGCTGTCCCACCTCTGGGCTCCACACACACAGTGCCCCTCAACCCCAACCCGCAGCCCCTGCTATCTCAGCCCTGGGCTCCCCCCACACAGCTCCACCAATGCCCCTCAACCCCGACCCGCAGCCCCCTGCTATCTCAGCCCTGAACCCCAGTTTTGAAGTTCCTGGCAATACAGAACAGCCAGCCTTAGTCATCATGCGATGGTCACCAAGCAACCAGTCACCATAGCAACAGGGAGAGATGCAGTCCTGGCTAGTGGGAAGGGAGGTCTCTCAGGAGGCTCAGGCAGGGGCCAGGGATGGGGGATCGGAGTGAGGCGGAGGTGCAGGGCAGGGATGGGAGAGGATCGGGGGGCTGGGAGTGAGGCAGAGATTCAGGCAGCAAGTCTAAGTGACTGGGGGCTGGAGTGAACCTGAGGTGTTTCTCCAGGGACAAGCACCCTCCCCCCGCCCCAGTGAAACCCAGCCACCTGCCCTGGCTGCCTTGTGAGATGGGGTTCCCTCTCAGGGAGGTGGCCCTGCCTGGAGCCCCAGTTACCCAGAGCTGGGGAACCCACCCTTGGAGCCAGGGAAGAGCAGCACTCCCCCTCACAGCCCCATGTCTTGGCAGGCTCTGGCCCCCACCATTGACTGGCTGGATTACATGGCCTATGCCCTGGCCCCGCTGGAGCTGAGCGAGGCGGAGCCCGTGGTGGTGTTTGGCCGCGAGTACCTGCAGCAGGTCTCCGAGCTAATCAACAGCACGGACAGAAGGTAAGAGCCCCAGCTGGAGGGAGGGGCTTCAGGGCCCTCTGTGTCTGAGGGGCTGGCAGGCACCAGCGAAGTGACATCAGGGGTCACCTTGCAGCACCCATTGGGAAGCAGGGGCCATGTCCATTGGGGGTGAGGGAGTATCTGTTCAGGGCAGTGCCTGTTGGGACATGGGGGTGGGTCTCAGGGCCATGCCAATTGGGGGTGGGGTGAGTGGGTGGGGATGGGGGGCATGTCTCATGGTGGGGCCCCTCAGGGTTGGGGTCTCGGGGAGTCAGCGTGGCTCTGTCATTTGCAGCATTTTGAACAACTACATGATCTGGAACCTGGTTCAGAAAACTGCCTCAAGCCTGGACCAGCGATTCGAGACGGCCCAGGAGAAGCTGCTGGAGACCCTCTATGGCACCAAGAAGGTGAGGGGCTGCTGCATAGGGCACCCCGGGCCAAGCCACTGGCATCAGCCCCAAGGCCCCTTTCTCTATGCACATGGGGGTGCCTTATATGCCCCGGGGAAATCCCAGAGGATCCTCAGCCAGGCAGCCACAACCTGGCCTGTCTGGGGCAGGGGATAAGGAGGCACTGATGTGAGTGGAGGCTGCTAAGGGGAAGATGCCTGTGCACCACACCGCCTCCAGCCCTGGGTCGAGTCAGAGAGCGCCCTGCTGGCTGCGAGCCGGGGATGCTGGGTAACGGGGCTGAGCTGGGACAGCCAGGCGGTGATGGCGGGGTTAGTGAAACGCATGGGGGCTCTGGGGAGAGAAGTGCAGCACAGCAGGAGGGTGTGGAACTTGGGGCAGCGCAACCGGTATCCCGTAGAGATGCCGACAGGCCTCAGCTTAGGGGATCCTCGTGGTGGGAAGCAGCTCAGCCCTTTGGCCCAGCAGCCTGCGCGGGGACCAGCGAACAGGAGGCTGTAGGCAGGGAAAGGGCCAGGACTGAGCCCCTGAATGTGTGTGTGTCCCCAACACCCCAGGATGGCCTGGCAGAGCCTGAGAGGGGGCAGGCAGAGATCAGGAGGGGTTCCCCATCCAGATGAAGGCCCGTCTGCCTTGGAAGGAGACAAGGCGAAGGGACGTACCTGGGTTTAGGTCTGAGCCCCAGGGCCCCTCGACGAAGTGATGGGCAGGCCATGCAGAGCAGAGAGGAGGGAGCCCTCTCCCTCTGCAGCAGCACTTGGGGCCTTGGGAGGCCAGAAATTGTGTCCTCCTGCGTCAGGGTGTGAGCTCGGCCCAGGCCCCTGCCCCACAGCATGGCCAGCAAAGACACAGGGACTCCTCAGGTCTCACCCTGTCTGTCTCGCTCTCTCTCTGGAGTCCTGCACCCCTCGCTGGCAAACCTGCATCTCCAACACCGACGACACGCTGGGCTTCGCCCTGGGCTCCTTGTTCGTGAAAGCCACCTTCGACAGAGACAGCAAGGAGATTGTGAGTTTCCCTTCCCTGCCCTGCCCCGAGCCCTCTGGCCTCCCTCACACCAGCAGCCCCCCTTATCTCCCCCCTGCCCCCCAAACTTCCATACACCAGTTCTCTTGCAGCCCGCCCTCCGATTCCTCTGCAGATCCCAATTTCTCTAATCTTCCCCTCTTTGCTATTCCTCCCCAATTCTTTTGCAGCCCTTCAATTCACCAGCGGTGAGTGCCCCAGCTCGAGGTGCCTCTGGGCAGCAAAGGGCAGGGGTCCGCAGACCAGAGAGAAGGGAATTCCCTGCCCCACCAGTCACCCAGGCAAGGGGAGTGCAGCCTGGCTGCACGTGCCCTCCTGTTCTAACCACTCCGCTCTGGGGATCGTGCGAGGAGCAGGGCAGTCCCCACAGAGGGGGTCGGGTTGGGAGGCAGGGCTAGTGCTGCGTGAGTCTCCAGGGGAAGGGGGTGGTGCAGGCTGGCCGTGTCGGAGGAACTGACTCTCCCGCTCCACCATAGGCAGAGGAGATGATCAGCGAGATCCGGACGGCTTTTGAGGAATCCCTGGACCAGCTTGACTGGATGGACAGGACGACGAGACAGGCCGCTAAGGAGAAGGTGACCCCAGCAGGAGGGGGGCCAGCCCAACTCCTGCCCTGAGTTAGAGGGGAGACGATGTCAGAGCTGACTCCAAATAGCCCCTCCCCAGGCAATGCCCCCTGCAACTGTTGGCACTGCGCACTCCCCCTACATGAGCCATAAGGCAGGGGCATCCCCCGTCTCTGGGACATGGGTGTCCTGGGGGTGGGAATCTCAGCCATGTAGACTTTAGAGGATTGGGCCAAAAGAAACCTGATGAGGTTCAACAAGGACAAGTGCAGAGTCCTGCACTTAGGACGGAAGAATCCCATTCACTGTTACAGAATGGGGACCGAATGGGTAGGCAGCAGTTCTGCAGAAAAGGACGGAGGGGTTACAGTGGACGAGAAGCTGGATAGGAGTCAACAGTGTGCCCTCGTTGCCGAGAAGGCTAACGGCATTTTGGACTGTATAAGTAGGGGCATTGCCAGGAGATCAAGGGACATGATCATTCCCCTCTATTCGACATGGGTGAGGCCTCATCTGGAGTACTGTGTCCAGTTTTGGGCCCCACACTACAAGAAGGATGTGGAAAAATTGGAAAGAGTCCAATGGAGGGCAACAAAAATGATTAGGGGTCTGGAGCACATGACTTATGAGGAGAGGCTGAGGGAACTGGGATTGTTTAGTCTGCAGAAGAGAAGAATGAGGGGGGGATTTGATAGCTGCTTTCAACTACCTGAAAGGGGGTTCCAAAGAGGATGGATCTAGACTGTTCTCAGTGGTACCTGATGACAGAACAAGGAGTAATGGTCTCAAGTTGAAGTGGGGGAGGTTTAGGTTGGATATTAGGGAAAAAAAATTCACTAGGAGGGTGGTGAAGCACTGGAATGGGTTACCTAGGGAGGTGGTGGAATCTCCTTACTTAGAGGTTTTTAAGGTCAGGCTTGACAAAGCCCTGACTGGGATGATTTAGTTGGGAATTGGTCCTGCTTTGAGCAGGGGGTTGGACTAGATGACCTCCTGAGGTCCCTTCCAACCCTGATATTCTATGAAGGCCCTCTGGCTCCCTGGCAGGGAACCCCAGCCCCGTGCACCCCGGAGTAGCAACACTTGTGTCAAGGCTGTATCCCCACTTTGAACTTTAGGGTACAAATATAGGGGCCTGCATGAAAACTTCTAAGCTTAACTACCAGCTTAGCTCTGGTTCCGCTGCCACCATTTCCCAATTAGATTCCCTCCCTGGGAAGCCCTGAGAAACCTTTCACCAATTCCCTGGTGAATACAGATCCAAACCCCTTGGGATCTAAAACAAGGGGGAAAAAAATCAATCAGGTTCTTAAAAAGAAGGCTTTTAATTAAAAAAAAAAAGTAAAAATAATCTCTGTAAAATCAGTATGGAAATTAACCTTACAGGGTAATCAAACTTAAAGAGCTCAGAGGACTCCCCTCTAGTCTTAGGTTCAAAGTACAGCAAGCAAAGATAAACACTCTAGTAAAAGGTACATTTACAAGTTGAGAAAACAAAGGAAAACTAACACGCCTTGCCTGGCTATTTACTTACAAGTTTGAAATAGGAGAGACTTGTTTAGAAAGATGTGGAGAACCTGGATTGATGTCTGGTCCCTCTCAGTCCCAAGAACGAACACACAACCAAACAAAGAACACAAACAAAAGCCTCTGCCCCCCCCCCAAGATTTGAAAGTATCTTGTCCCCTTATTGGTCCTTTAGGTCAGATGCCAGCCAGGTTACCTGAGCTTCTTAACCCTTTACAGGGAAAAGGATTTTGGAGTCTCTGGCCAGGAGGGATTTTATAGTACTGTACACAGGACAGCTGTTACCCTTCCCTTTATAGTTATGACAGCTTGCTCCTGTGTGACCCGCGCACACTTCCCCTGGAGCTGCCGGGGCTGTACACAGGGAGCTCCCAGGTCTCTCCCTCTGCTCACCCCGCTATGATCTCAGCCGCTGGCCTCGCCCTTCTTTCCACAGGCAGACGCCATTTACGACATGATCGGCTTCCCGGACTTCATCCTCGATAACAAGGAGCTGGATGACGTCTACGATGGGGTAGGTCGCCCTTGAGCCTAGGGCCCTGGGCCCAGAGTGGCCCTGGGATTGCAAGGCCAGTAGCTCCCAGCTGCTTGTGCCAGGCACATGGCAGGGATCCAGTGAACCAAGGGTCCGACTGGGGTGGGTGAGATTTTGCCCGGCGCCCAGCCTGCATGTCCCACCCAAGGTATCTGGGCCCACTGGTGCGGCTGTGCAGTGGGGATGGGATCCAGGCTCTCATTGCTATAATAACTGAGTGCCAAGAGTGATCTATCTACCCTCATCTCACCCTTTCACTGCCTGTGGGGTTGGGGGGGGAGGGCACGCCCTAGCCCGTCTCAGACCCCCCCCACCCCGTACTCAGCCTGCAGGGTGGAGGGGTGCGGCCCTAGCCCATCTCAGCCCCTTGTTTCTTTCGCAGTATGAAGTCTCCGAAGACTCCTTTTTCCAGAACATGCTGAACTTCTACAATTTCTCTGCCAAGGTCATGGCCGACCAGCTGCGGAAACCCCCGAACCGGGACCAGTAAGGAGCCGCCGCAGCATGGGCACCTTCCCACCCATGGCGGCAGGGAGCGGGGTGGAGGGTCAAGTCAGGGCCCCATATGAAGAGTGCATGACCGGGAGGCCTGGGGGCGAGTTTTGGGGCGTGGCTGGTGCTGTCATTCTCCTGCTAGAGAGGGTAAAGGCAGATCCTGCCTCATTCTGCTGCCTCCCTCACTTCCCGGTGGCGGTGCAGCCTGTGGACACTACCAGTCCCAGCATGCAATGCTTTAGCTGGAACCTACTGGCTGGCTGCACTGCATGCTGGGAGATGTAGTCTCCACAGGCTGCACCTTTAGGAAAGCGAAGAAGGCAGCTGCAGTTTGCTCCTTCCATCCAAGGTGGGGACTCCCAGCTCACTGGAGAAGCATTTGGCCTGAACAGTCCCATTGGAAGACTCTCCCCCAGGCAACCCCACTCTTGGCACCGACGCAGCCGTGCATCCTTTCACAAGCACACACGCACTTGTTCCCGCCCCACAACACGGGCACACACCAGGGCCCGCCTGGTTCTGGCTGTATCAGATACACACCGGCAGCCGCCTGCCCCCTCTGTAATAGAAAAAGACCAGCCAAGACCCCCAAGAAGGGGGCCAGTATCCTGGTTGTTCCTGGCCAGCCTTTGGCTGTCCCTGGGACAGACCTCAGCTCTCATGTGGCTGAGAGACTGCTACAAAGGTGCGAGGCTCAGCCAGCTCCCAGCACTTCAGCCGAGTGTTTCTGGCCAGGCTCTTAATACTGGGTTTGGAGAGGAGCTTCCCCCTGTATGGGGGGCTGCTCCTCCTGCTGGGGTCTGCCCTGGGCTTTTGCTAACAGGGTGCCAGGTGCAGGGGGAGATGCTGCCTAACACGTTGGACCCGCCCTAGGTGGAGCATGACCCCGCAGACCGTCAACGCCTATTACCTGCCCACCAAGAACGGGATCGTCTTTCCAGCTGGGATCCTGCAGGCTCCTTTCTACGCTCGCAACCACCCCAAGTGCGTCCGGTGCTCTGGGCTCTCGCCGGGTCATGCCTGTGTGGGTGGCAGGAAGCGACTGGGGAAAGATAGGGCAGGAGACCCACTGGCAGGTGTAGATCCCTGGGTATACTCAGATCTGGGCAACCCCCTCTCTCACACGGGGGCAGCACTTGGTCCCGGGAGCAAGGAATGGAGCTTCCAAGGCAGAGACACTCTGGGGCTGAGCTGCTGCCATCCAAGCACTAATGGAGGATTCCCCCATCCCTGCCGTCCCAAACCCACCCCTGAATAGAGAGGAGCTTCCTGTCCTGGGATCCCAGTGGGGTTGGTACTCACTGCTGCCCTCAGCGATTCCCTCGGGCCCTTAGGAAGCAGCCTGGCCCATGGCAGCTGTGGGCTCGGGGTGGAGCGAGCAGTCACAGGAAGACACTTGGTCCAGCGTCATGAGCGTCTCTGCCTGCTCACTGCCCTTCTCACCCTCAAGAGAGGGCAGGACCTGCATCAGCCCTTCCCCCGGGGAGTCAGAGAAGGGGGCGGCCTTAGCGCCAGTGCTGTGGAAGAGGCCGGGCAAGGGTCACCATCCCAGCAGGCTGGCCAATGGTTGACCCATGGTGCTCCACTGCTCTAGCCGCAGGGCCCGGCCCATTGCTAGGACTGGCAGCCTTCCCCACAGGCCAGCCTTTCATGTTAACAATGAGGGCAGCTGAAGGCAGATCCATTTTATGCCCATTGGGTGCCAACCTTGGGCTCCCAGCAAGCTGGCACTGCAGTCCTTGGCTTGGCAGAGTTTATGCTTTGCCCAATAGTGACGCTAATGGACTCTAGGTAAGGATCTACTCCAAGCCTGCCCTGCTAGTGCAATGCATTGTTACGGGCAGTCATCCTGAGCAGGTTTCCTAGCTAGACACGTGCTTCAGTCAGTGGAGTCTCACCTCCATTGGGCATTCAGGCCCCCAGCACTCTACATCGATTGCTCATCGAAAGGGCACCAGGGAGCACTGGGAACGCAGCATGGGGCTGACTCAGTGCTGCATGAGCAGCGATCAGGGAGGCTCCAATACCACCGGGATACAGACCATGGTAAGGACTTAGACAATAAACTAGGGTTTCTTCTTGGCTTCACCCAGGGCCCTCAACTTTGGCGGCATCGGCGTAGTGATGGGGCACGAGCTCACGCACGCATTCGATGACCAAGGTAGGACCCAACTGGCCTGTCAGGCTCCCCTCTCGGCTCCCTGGTCTCATGCGCACACCCTGCCATTCCAAGAATGCACCAGGGCCACTATGGAAAGGACACTTCGTTCAGGGACACCATAACCAAACAGTCCTTATACTGGATAGAGAGGTGATGCTATTCCCCCCCTCCCCTCCCCCTGGCACAGTGCTCCCAGCTCCTCTTCATCGCAGCCTCATCCTGTCCTCTGCACCATGGAGCTGCCCAGCACCTCTGTCCTGTACATGCCCTGCAAAGGCTCCCAACATCGCTCTCCTCTGGGCCACTAGTGGCCTTGCCAGCCATTCCATCCTGTGCTTTGCCATGTCATTTTCTTGCAGCATGGCCAACACCTCTTGCTCACGTTAGCTTCTTCACAGCCCTCAAGATGTCCTTTCCCTTTGGCTGGCTCTCTTCCCCATTTTGTTTGTCCTCCTGTCTCCCCAGGTGACACCTGCAGGCATCTCCCCAGGCTTCTCTGTGCAGCTTTCGCTTCTGCTCCATCTGCTTGGTGAGGACCCATGTCTCTGCATCTCGAGCCATGGCTAGTGGCTGGCGATTCCCTGTTCCCCCCCCCTCCACACTGCTCCTTGTGGCTATTGGGGGATCTTCCCCCTTCTCCAGCTGGACTCGTGTTTGTTTTGTTTGCATCCTCTCTCTGCATGCTGTGTAGTGTTGCTAGGCCATGGCCAATGGTGGAACCCAAAAGGCAGCTTTGGGGTGATTGGAGTCTCCCTGCCAAGACACGCTCCCTGGGGGTCTGGTGGAGAAGCAGGTGGAGTTCCCATACCTACAGGGGTACAGAGCACCACCATCAGGGTAGGGGGCCTGCGGGCTAAGAACATTGAGAACGGGCATGGAGACTTTCACCTCAAGGCTGCTGGGTCATAACCAGCCCTGGGTGGCAGGGAAAGAGCAAGTCATCCGGGACTCTTTGGTGGCCGAGGTGAAGCGAACTGGGATCCTGGCCAGTTCCTGCCAGACAGAAAAGCCACCAGCACAACCAGCGCCAACTGACCCCATTGTTAGCAACTGAAGAAGCCGAGGACCAAGCAGGCCATGAAGTGTGAGCTGCTCTTCTAGAGGGGTCCCAGCAGGTCGAGGAAAGTTCATACGGCTGCTGCCCAGGCAGCGCCTGCTGGAGAGATGAGGCCGTCAGTCTCCAAGGCTGCACAGCCACCATCCTGGCCACAGAAGATCCTGGGAGATGATCCTGTCCTTTCCCTGTTGCTCACTCCCAGAGGCACCATGGGTAGGGAGGATTCCTGACGCCCATAGAGCAGGTGCTCCATCCCCACCCTGAGCTTGACTGGTCTGTGCCTCTGATTTTTCCCTTTTCATGTCCCTCTCCATTTCAGCAGCCCCTCCCCTGCCAGACACCCCCACTCATGGGCAGCAGGCTTAAGATCCCCTGTTGAGCCATCACATGGACTCTTGTAAGTTACCTTAGCCTTTGGGCTGCTTGCAACATCCTTCATGCTGGGGGCCACTCGGGATGGAACGGAGACTGTGCTGGGGGGGGCGTGGCTCAGCTCCCTAGCGGGCCGCTTGAGGAAAAGGCACCAGAGCCAGGTGCAGGTGATAGAACTGTCGCTGCCGGTAGCGCCTCCTCCGGCCATTTATCGTGCACCGGGTTGTCTTCCAGGTCGAGAATACGACAAGGAGGGGAATCTGCGTCCCTGGTGGCAGAACTCCTCCCTGGAGGCCTTTAAGAACCGGACCGAGTGCATGATGGAACAGTACAGCAAGTACATGGTGAACGGCGAGCACGTCAACGGCAAGCAGACCCTGGGCGAGAACATTGCAGACAACGGGGGCCTGAAGACAGCATATAACGTGAGTAACCCAACGAGCCCGCCCCTCAGGCGGGGGACGGGCAGCAGATCCTAAGGCCAGGGCTCAATTCCCACCGCCCCCCCTGATTCTGAGGGGAGCATCACTTTATGTTTGCTGCTGTTTCCCGGCATGCTTTCTTGGTTCCCTGCAGGCCTACAAAGCCTGGCTGCAGAAGAATGGAGAGGAGAAGCACCTGCCTGCCGTGGGGCTCACCAACAACCAGCTCTTCTTCGTAGGATTTGCACAGGTACGGCTCTGGGATGGGAAAACAGCTTCTCTGCTGATGCCCCTCCATCTCAGCCTGCAGCCCCCTGCTACTCCAGTCCTGGGCTTCCCCACACACAGCTCTGCTGATGTCCCTCACGGCTGTTGACCTGCAGTCCCCTCCGTGCCCCCCCAATCCCCCAACAGCTCTGCCAGTGCCCCTCAGGGCTAACCTACAGCTCCCTGCTGTTCCATTTGGGGAACAACGGGCCATGGTTTTTAAAGGCCCAAGCCTATTGTATTGAGACCCAAGAGAAGAGAACCAAATGAGCTCCTCAGTGAAGTCAGATGGGAACATCCTGGCCCAGCCGAGCCATACCAAGGGTCAGGCCCACTCCCAGCTAGCACTCCATCTTCCCCTAGCTCCATTCACCACCTCCCCAACGGGACAGCCTTGGGGTTGCTGCTGCCCTGGGAGGTTCACTCCCTGTCTCAGTGCAGGGCAGCCTTGAACCCTGGTGCCCAAGGCAGGAAACTAGCTGAGAAGAGGGTGCGGGAGCGAGGCTGGGCGTTGGGCTGTGCCTCCCTAATCCTGGTCCTTGTTGTGTCCCTCGCACAGGTGTGGTGCTCTGTGCGCACGCCGGAAAGCTCGCACGAGGGGCTGGTCACCGATCCACACAGTCCAGACAAGTTCCGGGTCATCGGCACCCTCAGCAACTCCAGGGATTTCGTCGAGCACTTTAAGTGCCCGGTGGGCTCGCCCATGAACCCCGGCAAGCACTGTGAGGTGTGGTAGAGGGGGGCCGCAGGGCAAGGAGGCGTGCAGCCAGGGAGGGGGCCAAAGAATCTGTACATATACAACCAAGCAACTTCCCCAGGACATAGGCAGGCAGGAGCACCCACATAGAGTCCCAGAGCCATGCCCCCTCCCTCCCAGCCTCTTGGATGGGGACACGTGGGGAACATCTCCGGGAAGATCTACTGGCCTCAGCTTCTCTGCTCTGGCTTGTCCTGTGCAGGCTGCAGGCTCCTCCCATCTCAGACAGAGCTCCAGGAGAGAGTGTAGGAGCCGCGTTTTCCTGCACCACCTGCTGGGTGGAGCCTGGAACCCAGCCCACCCACCTTGGTCATGCACCACCCTTGTACCATTGATCCCATCCCCACTATCAGCACCTGCCACCACTGCACATTGCAAGGAGTGTCAGCCCAGGGTCTCCTGCCCGAGCCCCACTCCAGCCAGTCAGCCCCGCCTCCCCCAGCTCCCCAACAGAGGGTCATCGGGTCCTGCCCACCCAAGCCGGGCATAGGTTGAGAGCCTTCAATGGGCAACACCAGCCTTTTCCTTACAGCCCCGCCCGGTGGGTCTAGTCTGGGTACAGCTCCTCCAACGAGAGCAATGCTGGGAGTGCCGGTGTCGGCAGGGCCTGGGTGATACAACCGCCGCGTGATCGAACGCTGCTAGAGCAGGTTGAGATGCCCAACGACGCCCTCAGTACCAGTGCTCCCAGCAGTGACCCCACCAGGGGGCAGCACTGGCCCTGCAGCAAGGACTGGCTAGAGTAGACAAGGCCAGTTATGGGAACACTGGGTGGGATGGGGCAGAGAGCCTCCAGAGCCTGGTGCCATCCCAGGGATGGGCATAACAGCACCCACAGCGGCACAGTGCCCCAGTTGCCAGGCTGGGATGCAGGGAGATGGGACCCCTTCAGGGCACAAAGGGCAGCAGTGCAGCTCCCCTACCACCACTCCGGGCACAGGGAGGGGAGGCATAATTTGGGTCTGAAGGGCAGCAGCCCAGCACCCTCTAGTGCCAGGCTGGCAGGGGGAGAATGTCCACAGGCATTTTTAATCTTTTTAAACCAACTGGAACAGCAGCAGTTAACCCCGTGAGGATCCCTTCTGACTACGGGATCTTCCCCGGGATTAGCCCTGAAACAAGCTGCCTGTTCTAAACCAACTCCGATCCCCTGCCAGCTTCCCTCCCACTAACCCAACTATGTGCCAGGGCAGGTTTTTCCTGGATCGTTTGAGGGGGATCAGACAAGGCGTCTGAATGCTGGGAGCTTCAGACCGTGAGCTGCTCTCGCTTCTGGGGCATTTTCTTAACCTTCTTAGGCTCATTGTAATCCCAAACCAGCTTGGCTTAGAAACTCCCCATTTGCTTTAATTGGTTGGTCATGGTGGGGACTGGTGCCTTGGACTAGCTTTGGGTCGTTCTTGATGGATTTATTTAACGATTAAAAGCAGTTTCCACTTTCACACCGGGCTCTGTTCTTAACTCTGCACGGTCCCAGGATAGATGGGGATAAGCCCCGGGCAGGGTACTACCCCAGGGGAAGGGGTGGATTCTGTGGGGAGTGGGAACACACAGACTGGCGGTGGGGCGGAGTCTGGGGACCGCAGCGTGCGAGGTCCTTGAGATCCTGACACTGAACACGTCTTACATTTTAGAAAATGTAAGGAAATTGCTGGGGGGACTTTGTTAAACTGGAGTTAAGACTGGAAAATCTAGTGGTGACTTTTATGAACGGTCTCCAAAAACACCAATCTTGAACAGTCTGGAAATTAGGTTACACGTTAAAAAAAGAAAAAGAAATGAACAAGTCTGCAAATGTACAACCAATCCTAACCCCGCCCCAGTATGGGGCACCATCAGCCCCCCGGCTTCCTATATTCACCCCCCATCTAACTAGGGGAATGACATAGGCAGGGCTGAATCTCAGAGTGACAAGGCAATTCCTATCCCCCATGAGGGGAAGCTGCTCCCTAAGAGAGATGGGGTGGAGTCACGCTGATTTGCTAGGGAGATGGGCCCCATTTCCCTAGCAGATCTATACCCCTCCCTCCCTCATAATAAAGCAATGGGAGCCCCTCACCCTCTGTTGATGGAGTCAGTTCTCCCCCAAGCACCCCCATTCAAGTAAGAGCCAGGTACCCCCATACAGCAGGGCCCACCCCATCCCCAGCACTGAGCCCACATGCACCTGAGCACATGGTAGCATGGGGACATGCACCCCCCAAACCAGCAGGTCTCCCACCACAGCCACCAAGAGCTGGGGTCCATCTCATGCTGTTTTATTTACAATTTTCAAGGGCCTTTAGCAGTGGTGTAAAGAACCAGGCAGCGTGTATCCACAGAACAGGTCCTGCCAGGGCAGCAGCAGGGTAGGCCTCCCCAGGGCCGGCTCTAGCGTTTTTGCCACCCCAAGCACACACAAGCCGCAATCGGCGCGGCAGCTCTACCGCCGCTTCATTCTACTGTGGCAATTCGGTAGCAGGTCCTTCGCTCCCAGAGGGAGTGACGGCCCCACTGCCGAATGGCCGGCCGTGCCACCCCCCTCTTCATTGGCCGCCCCAGGCACCTGCTTGGTATGCTGGTGCCTGGAGCCGGTCCTGGGCCTCTCACTGCCCCCTGCCAATGCAGCTCCCCCTGCACCCCCAAGGGGAGAGCAGTCTCCACTGCCCACTCGCTCACTGGCCAACAAGGAGCCAATGTGACTGGACCCTCTACTCATTTCCCATGGGGCTGCTGGATGGTAACACCTCTGGCACTACTAAGCCAGGACAGACTGGAGCCCTGATCTCAAGGTAAAGGGCTCCCTGCCCCACCCAGGCCATCCCACAGTGCAAGGGCTGCAGGATGGGGAATGAAGTAGGATCCCAGGAGCTGCAGCAAATAGAAGCCCCTCCCCCGCCCCGTTCCACGCCTTGCAGGCATGCTGGAAAGAAGGCAGATACTGTGGCATCACCAGCTGGAGTTGGGCAGGCCACACAGCCACTGTGGGAGCAACAGCTCCACCAGCTCTGCATCCCCAGGCCCAGCTGCCAGACCTCCCCAAGACGTGTGCTCCGGAGCAATTCCCCAGGCGGGGCTGTTTCACGTGGGTCCACTGCAGCATGGCACCAGAGTGCCAGCTGGGCCCTGAACTGAGAAGCAGCAGCACCAGGATCTGGAGGCCCAGGCAGCGAAGAGCCAGAGGGGAAGGACTCAATCCTATCTTTGGCCAACCTCAGCGGACTCTGACGCCGTGGCAGGAGGTCAGTCATCCCTAAGCTGCCAGAAACGCCGGCTTCCCCTGCCAGCGTTGCAACCCATGGAACCCAAGTGACCTGGCTTGGGAGTGCGGGTTGGAGAGGTTATTTTTACATGTAAATGAGCTAGTGAGTGGCTGGTGAATTTCTCAGATGCTAGAAGGAAATGAAAGGAAAGCTCTGAAAACTCCATCCCACCCTCAGGCTTTCATCCTCTCCTCCGCCTCACGGCTTCCCCAACAGCCTCAGAAGCGCTGGGGGCTGGGCTTCCTGCAGAAGGGAGGGACAGAGGCCTCCCCATATGCCAGCTTCTTTGGCTATGAACACACCCGGGCCTGTAACCCAACCCCCACCTTCCTCTCCCCAGGAGCCACTTGTATAGGAACAACCTCCCTGCTTCTCCATTCTGTGGGTATTCGCTGCAGTTAACTTGACTGATTGGCACCTGGGCATATGCACCTGGGCTAGCCTAATCAGGTGTTAGCCTCGTGTGATGGTTCACGCCCCTAGGGTCAGGGCAGAGTGGCCTGTCAGTCTATAGCGCCACCCTTTGGCACGGGGCCTAGCGGCCAGAGTCTATAGCATTGGGGCACCTCTTATGGGGTGTGGCAGCCCCGGTAGGGGGGCCCAGGCCCACCCAACTCCACCAGGCCCCAACCCAGGGCTCTAACAATGGCATAGCAGCTTGCCACTGACTCAGCAGGGGAGAGGGGGTATCCTACCAAAACACTGAGTTTCCCCGGGTGGGAAGTACCACTCCGTCACCCTCCCTGGGTCACTTCCTACCAGAGTCTGTGTTGGGATTTCCCATGAGATGTCATCTCCAGGGTTTCCTCCACGCGCCGGGGTGCTGGTGGGCGGGGGACAGCTTCAATTCACAGTGCAATCAGAGGCTGTGGCTAGCCCTCCGCCAGAGCTTCCCAGACAGGTCCTTCCCCTGAAACCTCCAGCCCAGAATGAGCTGGTCTCCCTCCCTTTATACTACTAGAGCACTTGGAGCATGCCCAGTCTTGCCAGGGAGGCGGGACTTCCGCTGTCAATACCACGGTCTTAACCCTGTCTCGGCTAGAGCAGGATAAGCAGACCCCTTCACACCTCCCCACTGCAAAGCCCTACCCAAGCTACCGGTCCTGCTGCACTCCTCCATGTGTTGCTAGGGGCACATCCCATGGCTCTGAGCCCTGCAGTGAGCTGAGCTGCTCCATGATTCCTTCCCAGGGAATTGGGGGAGAACTTGTCTGTCCTGGGCAGACTGGGAGAACTGTGGGAAGGCACTGGAGGACTATCAGGACTCCAGTAGGGTAGCCTGCACCCATGCTGGGCTTCAGCCAATACCCCAGAATAGGCCAGCTAGGTGAGAAGGTTGTGCGTGTGGACAGGACCGAGGTTGGGGCAACACCTTAGGAAGAGCCTGAGTTCACTCTGCAGTGGAGACAAGCCCTGTGCTTCTGTTATTCCCCTGCTGCTCCCAGCCATGAGTCACTTGCTCCAGGGCAGGGGGTCATGGACAGGTTTCACCCACACCAAAGCCTGCTGAGAAATGCCAGTCTCCAGTGAGCAGCTTGGTTCCTTCACATACAATCCCTAGATTTGCCATGTTAGCCACCAACTCAGTTTCTCCTTGGCCTTTTGGTCAAGATCAGACACAATATCATGCAAAGGTGTGATGTGCTGCCTACTGAGGCCTAGAGCCTGCCCTAGCCCCCTTTCAACAGGCACCTTCATCTCTGATCTTTGGCTGCCAAACCGAGTTCCCATCTCTTGCAATTATACAAGATTTGTAACATTTGGTGATTTACTTAAAACCCCAGCTCCTGGAGTCACGGGATGATGTTAGGATCTCAATTTGAATGTCAAAGATAATTTCTAGCCCTTCCTGGTTGCAGAGAAAAACTGGAAAATGTGACCCCAAAAGCTCCAAAAACAACCCCCCCCCATTTATATATTTATTAAAATCTCATGATTTTGGGGCCCTGACTCTTGATTTTTGAACAACTTGGCTGGGCTATGCTGCAGCATGACATCCCCTGGGCCTGAATTTCAAAGACAGTGAGCATCCACATTCCCACTGACTCCATTGTAGAATCTGGGCCTCGGGTGCGTCACCCTGGGCATCAGACACAGAGGCCACTTCTCAAAACACTGGCCTAATGTATGTAATTAGGAACCAAATGTATCTATGTTGAGCTAATGCAGGTCTGTCTGTTTAAATACAACCATCTCTCTCCCCCTTCCCATGTTGCTCATTTTAGACTGTAAATGCTTTGGCTGTGTGTTCATGCTGGTACCTTTTGGTACCACAAGGTAACAGTGATAGAAGGTATGCTCGTGGCCCACTCAGGAAGAGCCCTGACTGTGCTGCCATTCAATGCCAGCCGGGCACTGCTCTAATAAATGGCATTCCTCCTCTCAGACCTCCCCACTCCTTCCCCCTTGAACCAGTTCTCCAGTGGGCATTGGAATAAAAACATCCTGTCGTCTGTATAAGCGACTCAAGACCAGTGCACACAAGCTGCCCTTCTGACAAACCAATATGCCCTGAGCAACCCTACAATAACACACCACCACAGGCAGCCAAGTACAACCCAGCAGTAACCAAGCCTGTATAAGCTGCATAGCTCTGAGCATCCCCTGCGATATCACGAATAGAATATCAATACTTCTCAGCCAACTTACCACAACAAACCAGTCTGTGGAGCAAGCCAGCAATAACAAACCAGCATGTGAGCGCAAAGCGGGATTAGCATGCAGGGGCAGCTCTATGTTTTTTGCTGCCCCAAGCACAGCAGTCAGGCAGCCTTCGGTGGTCCACAGTCACACAGATTTGGCAGCATTTCTGCAGGTAATCTGCCAGTCCCATGGCTTCGGCACACGTGCTGCCGAATTGCCGCCGAAACCACAGGACCAACAGACCTTCCGCAGCCAAGCCGCCCAACTGCCACCCTCTGTGGCTTACCGCCCCAGGCATGTGCTTGCTGCACTGGTGCTGGAGCTGCCCCTGGCAGCAGGGGAGAAGGTTGGATGTCAGGGATCATTACAAACAGACGGTTATTTGGCTATGAAAAGCGTGCATATAATATCAGGGGTGGAGGGGACCTCAGGAGGTCATCTAGTCCAAACCCCAGGACCAATCGCCAGACAGATTTTTACCCCAGTCCCCCCTCAAGGATTGAACTCACAACCCTAGGTTTAGCAGGCCAGTGGTTAACCCACTGAGCTATCCCTCCTCCTGCACCGCTGAACCTCCCCCTGGCCCCGCCCCCTGGGGCCCAGGACCGGCCCTTTGTGTCCCCGGAGCGGCGCCGCAAGCCCTTGGCCCGAAGGTTTCTTCCACCCCCAACGCCCGTTTGAGGTCTGCCCGGCGCAGGGCTCGACGGGAGTAGTAGTTCCGAGCACCCCTAGGGCGCGGCGCGGTGCAATCTGGGAGCTGTAGTTCCACAAGCTCTCGGCACCGCGGCGGCCCCCAGGAGCCGAGCGCGGCCGGACTCCATCTCCCAGGGGGCAGCGCGGCGGGGCTGTGGCTCCCAGCCGGTCCTGGACTCTTGGAACCCTAATAGGCGTCGGTAGCTGGGCGGTTCCTCCCAGGCCCGGGTGAGTCTCCCAGCAAGGGGTCCCGGGGCGCCCGCCCGCCGCCCGCCCGGTCCAGCCCCACGTGGGAGCCCCGGGCTAACGGGCAGCCCCCCGTGTGCTCTCCTTGCAGTCGCGGCGCCCCTGCCCGGCACCATGGACGCCCTGCCCGTCACCTCCGGGGAGCTGCTGTGCCTGGCCTCCAGCCTGGCCTTCTCCGGCCTCTTCTATTACCTGTACAGGAAGAAGGCCAAAGCGCTGGCTCGGATCCAGGTACCTGGGGCTCCCCGGCCCTCCCCTCCTGCCCGCGCCCCAAACGCTGCCCAGCCCAGGGCCGCCTTAACAGGTGTCCAGGTGCCCAAACAGGGCAAGGGGGGGACCCTGCTCCCCGCCCCGCAGGGCTCAGCCACGGGGCCTACAGATCCCAGCCTGCAGCGCTCCACCTCCAGGGATACCAGCCAGCACAGCCCTGGCTCTGGCCGTCTTGTTTGCACCCCCATGCCGGGAATCCCACCAGGTGCTCTGCGTCGCTGTCTCTGGCACACCTCGGTGGCCTTCGCCTGGCTTGGCGCACTTGTATCCTTCTAGAACTTGGCTGGCCACTGCATGCTGGGACCTGTAGTCTCCGAAGTGCGTACGGCCTGCTGGGCGTGATAGTCCCCGTGGGCCGGATCTCCTGGTTAAAAGAGAAGGCGGGACAGACCGTACGGTGGGATTTGGTAGGTCACGTCTGCCCCGATCGCTCAATCTAGACCCTTCTGTAGTTCGGCTCACAGGATTCCTCACTACCCACCTGCACAGCTGGGAAAGGAGTCTGTGCCACGCTATGCTTCACCAGCTATGCCTGGCACAGGGCCCGCTGCACAGGGATGGGTCTGATGTGGGAATCGTACGGGCAGAAATGTTGCCAGTGGCTAAACGCAGCAGAGCCACGCAAGCGCTAGAGCTGGATGGTGGCTGTCAGCTTCACGGAAAGATGAGACTCCAGTAAGGGGCCCTATTCCCTTGCAACATGCCCTAATCACCCAGGGGCTGATCTAGTGCCACCTTTCCACGGCCTGCAGAGTAACGTGGATTAAGTGAACCGATGCCACAGTGCAAAGCCTGGGGGCCAAAGACATTCCAGGGAAGAGGGAGGTACCCACTGGCCTCTGGAGGTGGGGCACAACCAGGCACAGGCAGAGTGGGTGTTCCCCCCCCCCTCCCCCCAGCAGGAGCTGAGTAGCAGCTTATTGAGATTGAAAGTGGCTGAGGCTCACTCTCATTTCTGGTTTCTCCTTCTGCAGGAGGCCCCGAAGCTTCAGGTAGATGATGGTCTGCCTGACCTGCTATCTGCCACCAGTGGCCAGTGCCTGCATTATGTTGCCTTAGAAGGTAAGATCCCTGCACACTTCTCCAGCTTGGTGCACTGGGGCTCATCTCTCAGCGACTTTCACAGCAGCTGCATGCCGTCTCCTGGTGTGTTTGGCATCTCAATTCTAGGAACTGGGGAATTACAGTCTGCAGAGCAACATGTGGGTAGCCATTCAGAAACACCTCCTGGGATGTCCTCCCTGGGTCCCAGAGGGGAGACCGCCCCTTGCTGAATTTTTGGAGGGGGAGGGGGACTCCTAGTTAAGCAGCTATAGCTCTCCCAACCCACTAGTCAAACCTAGTCTCCTACAGGACTGTGCTGAATTATAGCCCCAGGGACCCTGGGGGAATTCTAGACAGCTCTGGGCGCTGGAGATGCTCCATGAACCAGGGTTTGCCTCGCAGAGATCACACCCCCTCCACGTTATCCATAGGGATTGTCCTGCCAGCAAAAGCGGCTCTGTCCAGCCAGCACCACGAGGAGCTGCAGGGAGTGATCCAGAAACTAGTTCTGAAGGAGCATCGACTGATCTGGAACAGCCTCGCCCGGAGTTGGTGAGTGGGCATTGGGGCAGACCCGGGAGGGAGGGATGGGCTGACAGTTGGGAAGAGAGGGGCACCAGCAGCAGGCCGTGTGGGGGAGCACATGGGGCCAGCAGATCTGCGGTGCATGGCAGAGCTGCACCTATGGCAGATTCCCTTCTTGCAGTGTCCTCTGCAGGCCTGGGTTGGTTTGGATTCGTTCTGCCTGGGCTGGGGACTCCGCTACATCAGAGGCCCACAGACTGTGCCCCAGGGCCACTCGCTGGTGGGGTAAGGTAGGAGAGCAAGGTTAGCCTGTGGGGTGAGGGCAGACCAGGGATCTAGGGCCTTTGGAGGCCCGTTTCTGAGCCACCGGCTCAGCTGCTGCGCTCTTGATTGGTTGCAGGAATGAAAGTGAGCGGGTGGTTTCGGAGCAGGTGTACACGGTGCCCTTTGCCCTGGCATCCCCCAGTGCTGAGGCAGTGACACGGGTGAGTGTAGAGAGCCCTCTACGGGCTGTCCGGCTGCCCCTGGAGACTGTGTATGAGCGCTTCCAGCACCCAACCCACGGCTTCAAAGACCTGATCAGTCACTACCTGAGCGGGGAGAAGCCCAAGGGCCTGCTGGAGACAGAGGAGATGCTGCGAGTGGGGGCAAGCCTGACTGGCATCGGGGAGCTGGCCATGCACCCAGATGGGACCCTCCACCTGCAGCCCCCAGCTGATGGGTCCAACTACTTCCTGCACTTGGGGGACTGGCAGACGCTGCTGGCGGAGATGGAGTCAGTGAGCAGCTTCTGGAAGGGGGCGGCAGTGCTGTGCGGCTTGACAGGCGTGGCGGTGATCCTGTACGCCCTCTGCCAGGCCTATCAGCAGCGCCGGCACAAGCAGGAGCAGGAGGAGCAGCGGCGGGAGTTCGAGGCCCTGTGGGGCAGCGGGGACACGGCGACTGAGTCTGGGGAGGATGCGTCGGAGGACGCCTGCATCATCTGCCTGACACGGCCCCGCGAGTGCGTCCTGCTATGCTGCGGCCATGTCTGTTGCTGCTTCCGCTGCTACGAGGCTCTGCCTAGCCACACCTGCCCCATCTGCAGGAGCCCCATAGACAGGGTAGTGCCCCTCTACCAGGCCTGAGGGGGAGAAGGGGCTTCAAACGGTACCAGGGCAAGAGCAGTGAAGTCCCTGGCACTAGGCAGCACCACTGTGCCCATAAAACCCCAGCAGCTTGGGGGGCAGTGTGTGATCCACAAGGGGTTAACCCCAGCAGCTTGGGGAGCAGTGTGTGATCCACAAGGGGTTAACCCCAGCAGCTTAGGGAGCAGTGTGTGATCCACAAGGGGTTAACCCCAGCAGCTTGGGGAGCAGTATGTGATCCACAAGTGACTTGGGATGTGAGCTCACAACCATAGTGTTGGGGGGGGAGGGGGTGCTGCAAGCACCGCCTCCTAGGCTGGGTTTGGGGGGGTGCTCATGATCCCCCTCTTCAGTGCTGGTCACATGGTGGTTGGAGTATGTGGCCTGAATTAGCCTCACTCAGCACGAAGCTGTTGCTGAGTTTCCCCCCCCTCACCCAAGCCTCATAGTGGGTCTGTTCCCAGCAGTCCCAGCTCTGCTAGGAGAGTCTGATGGGAACTAATTTCCTCCAAGTCTCTTCCTGGGCCCGGCCTTCTCAGTGCTGACCCCAGGAAGAGGCGGACTGGAGCCCAGCAGGCCTGCGGTGCAATGCTCCGTCGGTGGCTGGGGAGGCAGTTTGGACACGGTGTTTTTGCTCCTGCGAAGTGGCCAGATTTTACACTAGAGTTTATTTTTCTAGCACGTCTTTGTCACTGCTGTGCAGCTAACGTGCTGGGGAGAGGCCGGCGGAAGCTGCGGGGTTGACGGGAGGCTCAGGGTAGTTTGGGGCTGTGGCTTTGAGGGTAGAGAGGGCCTGGCTGAGGGGGCAGCATGCATTGCACAACTGAACAGCCAGGGTTGGTGCCTCCTCTGGCTAGGCCCCATGCAGCAGCAGTGTCTGGTGTTTGTGTGTAGGGTGGGGGGGGTAGGGTGTTTGTCTTTCCCTCATGGTCTCCTGTGTGAGGGTATTGAATTGAAGAGGCTTCCCCTGTGAGTGAGGCCAGCAGCCGGGGCCCTGTGCCGCCCTCACCATCCAACTCTTGAACCCCCTTTACACCCACATGTGGGAGTTTGAGGCAGTGCCACAGCTGAAGCATGGGAGGGTGGATTGCAGCAGCCCTGGCTTCTGACCGCCCCCAGCTGTTGGATCCCAGGAGGAGGACTCCCTGAATCAATGTTGGTCATTATTTATAAAGAGAAGGATCAGAGGCTGGGCTTGTGTCTTTCTTTAAGCCACACCCTAGTAAAAGAATGGGCTAACTTTTAAGAGCGGTGTGGGGGGACATAGCTGCTGCGTGGATCACCTAGACAGGCCCAAGGGGGAGAAATGCTCTACCACAGCGCAGGACTTTCACAGGATCGCTCTCTCAGGAGGCGAGTTACTCATTACAGAGCCTTGTACTCACCCTGGCCCACTTACTAGCTGGTTTTCAACACTCCAGCCCCACAGGTACAAAACAATTCAACAGCCCCAGGCAACATAGGAGTGCAGATGAAACCCCAGTGGGAGGGGAGATCCCCACAGGTACTTACCAGCAGGCAGGGAGAGAGATGCAGCCTGTTACAAAATGGCTACTTTAGGGATGCAGTAGTTTGGCTCACCCATATTTAAAGGGCCAGCCCCAGAAAGGCATGCCGGGAAAACACCTCCACTAAAAGGGGACCCTGCATGGAAGAAACTTAGGACATGTCTTTACAGCATAGTTACCCTGAGTGCTTAGTGCCTGGGTTAGCCTAGCCCAGCTGTGGGTATCCCCACAGCAAAGCCCTTCCCCATGGTACTGCGGCCTCAGTGTTTCCCCACTCACCTGTGTGTGGCTGGGGGCAGAGCCCACGGGGGTTTGTGCTGAGATGCTCCAGGATTCTAGTCCAGCCAACAGGAGGAGACCTTGGCTGCCCTTGCGGGGTGTTTGTCGGCAGGCACTGGAGGATGTCAATACGAGTCATTTTGCAAAGTGGGCAGGTTCCAGCCCACGTTAAACCAGGGCCCTGGGCTCTAACCCCCCTGCTCCCCAGCTGTGTAAACGCCTGGGCTCAAAGCCCCACCAACCCTGGGTCAGCTGTTCGGGGTTTTTTGTGGGAGGTGGTGTTGGGCGAAAACAAGTCAGAGCCTGGGATCACTGGTGTTGACTTACCCTTAGCAGAGAGCAGGTAGTCACTGAAGATGGTGCTGCTGGGGAAGCTCGTTGCTGTTCCATCACACTCCTTCCCCAACCCCCCCTTTGCATAGTGATATTATTTCCTTGGGCCCCCTCCCTCTATAGAAGCTCCCCTTCCCCTGGTGGTCTGTCCCCCAGGGACTGGGGGGTCCCAAGAGCTCCCCACTCGGTGGCTGCGCAGGTGGAGCGATGAGTCAGGTACAAGAGGCCAGCAAGTTCCCCAATGGGTTTTGCTGTTATGTCCTGGGTCTGTGCCGGTGCTGCTGGGCCCTGCTCGTTACTAGCCGCCGACTCAGTCACCTCCTCACAGCAGTGAGTCTCAAAACCCCACAGCGCCTGCGACTGCAAACATGGTCTGGGCACCTGAGGCTGGAACGTAGCTGCCTCCCTGGAGCAGTACGGAGGGAGAGGGTGACTCCTGCGGCCACAAACCCCACGTTCCTGGCGCAGTGTGGGGGCAGCAGAGTATGGACTCCCACCCTTTCCTAAGGGAGGCTTAGCACAGGAGCGATTGGAAATTGGACCTGGCCCAAGCACTGGGGTGGTCTGGGACTGAACAATGAGTGGGAGGCTGGTGCAGCAAACATAGATCTCAACTGCTGCTCCCGGCATGGACACTTCCGTGCCTTCTCCCGCCCCGTGCGTGGGATCAGGCTGAGGGCCTGCAGGAATGAATGAACATTTTTGCTCTGCAATGCACTAATGGCAGTCTCGAGTGCGGAAGCACTCCTGGCTGCCTCCAGCAGGGGGTGTGAGGGGACAGCGTTTGCAGAGGGATGGCAGGAGGCGAGGTGCAATGGGCCTAGGGTTGGATTCATAGGGACGTGGTCTTCAGCCACTGCAGAGGCAGAGGGGGGGAAAAAAAAAAAAGACAGGGAATCTGAGGATGGGCCCCCTGAGTGTAGGGTGAGCCACAGGGAGACAGAACTACTCACCTAGAGCAGGGCTGCGGCCGTGAGCCCCTCTCTAAAGGTGCCAGCCACTCGACTGATCCTTCATTGTGAGCAGCCAGGTCCCGTCCTGTTGTGGGCCCCCAGAGCAGGGGAACCCCACTGATCCCCAGCCTTACGGCCTAGGTCCTGCCTGCTGAGAGTTCCTATAGCAAGGGAGAGCAGGGCAATGGGTGCATGGGGTGGGGCGTCCCATTGCTTAGGCAGGTGGGGAAGTAGCAGCTCCCTCCCCTGTCCTGACTGGGGGGCATGACCCCTCTGCCATTCAGCATGGCCAGCCTGCTGGCCGCTTACCCCCAACTCCCTGCGCAGGTAACTCTCCCTGCTGCTGGCGAGCAGGGATGGGACAAAAGCCACACGGGCCGGCAGCGGGGCCCGGGCCGGCAGCCACCGAAGGAGGTGATGGAACTGGAGCAAGGTTTGGAAAAGCCAAGCTGGCTCTTCCTGTCGCTATGGCAACCCCACACCAGCCTTCTCCACCGCTGTTCCTGCTCACACACTCCGGTTGCCTTGGAAACCCATCCCAGCGTGTTTGGCATCTCTGGAGCTCGTCGTTTATTTTCATAACACGGAGGCACCTGGGGGGGAGGGGGGAGGGATGGACTAGCCAGGGCCCCGAGCTCACTGACAGCAGGCTCAGGCAACGCGCCCAGCTGCACAGCACGTGAAGAGGCACCAAGGTGCCGTCCCGGAGCCACAGCCTGGTGTTGGCCCTGAGAGGGGAGTGGCTGCTCCTGGGGCCAGTTGCTCGCCATTGGCGATTTGTTTCTTAAAGCCCCAGCTCCCAGAGTCACATGAGCAGGGGAGAATCTCAGCTTTTAAGTTGCTAGGGCCCCCCCCCGGGTGCAGAGAAGAAAATCTTGAAAACATGATGCCAAACTGGGAAGGCAATGAAAAGAGCCCAACATGGCTTATTGATTTAAAGTCTGATGGGTTTGGGGGTTTGTTTGGTTTTTCGGGGTTTGTTTATTTATTTAGGGCCAATCTGGTCATTTTTTCAGGCCTGATTTTTTTTATATGCAGGGGGCTGGTAGGCCTGGCTTTAGAATGCTGTGTGTCATTTGTGGAAAGCTGTTGCAACAGACCCCTGAAAATAGCCCAAGGACTCATGTGGAACCTACCTGAGTCTATAGGGTTCCCTGGATAGATCCAGCTTCTTGGACAGACCATTAGTCAATCACTGTTACTTTCATTCTCTCCTCGCACTGCAAAGGCCTATGGGTAATTGCATGTAGCCACATGAACTGCAACACAAATGTTCAGTAAGATCAAAAGAACCTCCCACTCCCCCATAAGCAGGTCTTCCCTGCCAGCCCTTTGTAGAGGGAAACCCTCCCCAGCATGGCCCCTCCACCCCCATCAGTCCTGCCCAGCCCCCAGCCAGACAAAGGCCTCCCCAGCATTGCCCCAAGACTAGAATGAACGCCCCCCCTCCCAGGAACTATGCCCCATCACAAGAGTCACCATCTCCTGCTCTAAATGCATGGTGTATTTCTTTGACCTGCCTTCTCTAACAAACCTACAAGGAAGGGGGAGAGTGTGAGAGATATAACAGCACTCTGCTGCCCTAACTTCTCTTCCTGGGGAGAGGATGAGGGAACAAACACGCAACTGATGTTGGTCATGTTGCTCAGTGCATGACCAGAAGGTACAGATAGTACGGTGATAAGCACGGCATAAGAACTTGTGTAGAACAGAGTAGACTCAGCCCTGCCCATGCCCCTGCAGGGTGAAGGCCTCTTTACTGGAAGGTTTGGGCTGGTTCTGGCTGCACCTGGGCAGCATCAGTGACTAAGAAGCCCTCTCAACCTCACTCCGTCATGGTTGCCCCTACCAGGATGACCTCACTCCCTTTCAGACCAGTTGCTACAAGGCCCACCCCCAACAAGGTGGTGGCTCTGACTTCAGAGGGTGCGGAACACGAGTTATGCAGCTGAGAACATGGGACCAGTGCTCTGAGAGGCGAATTCCCCAGAGAGCCACAGGGGCCAGTTGAGTTCAGTCAGTGACTGAGCTTCGGAGGTAGCAGAGGGTGAAAAGGGCCCTTGCCCTTGGATCCATGACACCACACCAGGCCAAACCATGAGCTATCACTCCATCACAGGGCACCTTCTAGTCCCAGCAGTGTGTACAGGACAGACCCCAGCCGGGTCCGTTCTATCCTCCAGTTTAATAACTGAGGCGCTGTGGAGTGGGGAGGAGAGGAGACCCAGTTCCCTTGGGAGTTAAATCTCTCCTCAGCATTAGCCTCCCAGCGTGAGGTATTTTAGGAAGGAGACAAACACCAGATGGGGGAAGAATTGGTTGCCAGGAACACGGCTCCCAATGTGCAGAGAACATTTGGTGTGAGCGAGCGAGTGAGGGCGGGAGGCAGCAGAGCCCCTATGGCGGCCCACCTTGTTTGTGTCCTCTCAGTGCCAGAGTTCAGTTCACTGGGCAGATGAGGCGGGGATGGGCAGCGAATTCCCCTTGTGAGTGCTCAGCACCCCTCCCACAGGACACATGGCCTCCAACACCAGCTCCCTCTACATCAGCTGCTCCCGTCACCTCATCGGATTGCTGGTCCATAGAACCGGGCAGCCCACTTCCGAGCAGAGACTGGATCAGACTGTTCATAGGAGCTAGGGCTGGAGAAGACCCATTAGGAGGTCTAGTCTATCCTCCACCATTGGTCCTTCCAGTTCAGGATCCCGCCTCTCAGATCAGAGCACTGGTCGGTGCCTTCTGATTTCCTGCCTCTGGCAATGGTCACTTCCCTTAGCAGGAGGCAGAAGCAACTGGTTGTTGGTGGGGCTAGGCAGGATCTACCAGCCTGCTTCTGCCCATGCTGCGTGCAGTGACTCTATGGCAGCACCTGGGCAGGAGACTGCTCAGAGTTGTTGGAGGCATCACAGGAGGTTCTGTAGCAGTGAACTCACCGAGCATGGCCTGTGGGGAGCCTAAGGCATGGGGGGTGAGGGGGATTCAGTCCAGGGCATCATCCAACACAGAGTTCAGCCCCGATTCCAGCTGCCGGTCCCTCCACCCGCGCTCTCAGCCCATTCGCAGCTGGGCTTGGGGCTGCCTTCTCCCTGACAGGCTGCAGCCTCCTGGGGCAGATTCCTTGGGGCAAGAGTAGGGAGTAGCATCTAAAAGGAATGACAAGCCAAGGAAGCCACTGTGCCCAAGGGGGAGGGACACCAAGGGCAGCATCCCAGTCAGTCACCTTGTGCCACTGCCCCCAGGAGGGAGCGGGAATTCACTGCCCAGGCAGCTGGTCTCCATGGATATGACTGACAGATGATAGCCCCGCCCCCACCTTCCTGCTGTCTCACCAGCGCCCTCCCATTTCCCACCTCAGGGAATCCATCACTCTCACCCCTTGGCACTCTGCCCCAGTTTCCTCCTCTTATGTCTTATCCCACGGACTGGTGTGTTTGCTCACCTCCAGATACACCCAGCCCGGCATGCTTGTCCATACCCACCAAGAAGGGCCCTGTAACTCAAGAAGCCTTACAAAAGGAAGGGAAAGGGGGCCCTTTTTGGCTGCTTTGCAATGTCTGAAAGCAGAGCTGCTTGTCTGTAAGGGGGTCTTGCCCCTTTGTTTGGTGCATTAGAAAGGGTAGGCAAGACAGGACTATTTTCCCAGAAAGCCCTGGAATTTCCCAGACAATTCCCTGCACTGGGACATTGCAGCTACCAAGGAAGAGATGTCTGAGGAAAGGAGATGGGGAGGGGCTGGAATTCAAAGGGCTTTGGAACGCTTTGGTTTTTGCTGATGCAGATTTAACTCTGAGGCCTAACAACTAGTCCAGAACGCTCAGTTTGTTGAAGGTTCAGCAGGACCTCCCAATGCAAGCAGGGATGGTGTGTGTGTGGGGGGTGAACGCAACCCGCCTGCTGTTGCCAAGGTCAGAGATCAGCAAAACTGCCCTCCCCCTGCTTAGGGCCTCCCTTGTAAATACCATCTCTCCAGCAGAAAGCCGCAAAATGAGGCACAAGGCCCTGTGAGGATTCCTGCAATATCTTTGAAAAACCCAACTGAATTACCTTGAAGTGTCTTTGGAGTCCATTGTATTA